ATTGGCCAAATTGCAAATTTCTGACCACATTATTGGGTAGTTGAAATCAGTAAATGGGCAGTTTCTTGTACTCAATCAATAGAAAAAAATGGAGTTCTAAAGAAATAGCTATGAGTTTGGTCGACTGGAACAATGGAATTAGCTGAAAATAGGGCTCAAAGTGGGCGAAATCGCCGATTCGTAAATATCGCTGAGGTCGCTAACTTCACAAGAGCGTAATTCCATCAGTTTTCCATCAAATTTCGTTCTTTTGGTGTCATTACAATCAGGAAAAGATTCTCTATCATTTCATAAGAAAAAATAATTTTTTTTTTTTTTTGGAAATTTTGCGACACCAGGAGACACCTCAGGATTTGGGGTTGTGACAGTCAAGGGGTTAAGTCTGCCTGAATTGGCTTGGCATGATAGTGTCTTTCTTTGCTCCAATCATATTATATGTAAACACATACTGTAACCTTTGCAAAGAAATAAATATTTATTTATTTATTTAAGGAGCCTCCCTCGAGGGGGAAGCTCTCATCCTGAAATTTCGTTCGTATCCAGAAGCAAAAAATCGACTGAATGATGGTTTGTATCCTGAAAAATTCACATGGTGGGGCGTTCATAAGCTGAGGTTCCACTGTATAGTATTAAATGACTGGAAGAGGGTACGTGTATTTATTTATAGCATACGCTGGGAAGCATACATAATTAAAGAAATGGTTGGAAGAGTGTAGGAAAAAAGAGAAGTGTTAATATCTTGTAAATATTAAGAGTAAAATGTGTTTGTTGCATATAGTAACAATGTGTATGTTTGGTCAATTAGACATATGTATAACACTTGCATATCTTTATTATGGAAATGTTTCACCACACAGTGGCTGTGTGGTGAAAAGTTTCCACGATAAAGATACCCAAGTGTTGTACATGTGTTGAATTTATCAACGTGTCAGTTCTCTGAACCTTTTGTCTACATTCCCAATGTGTATGTTAAAATGTGAGCAGGAAGTCAGCAATATTTTACATGAAGTAGTCTTCAAATATTTTAGAATAAATAACAAGTGATTTAGTGATACATATCCATTGTAATAGGGAAGCAGATGTACTTGATTCTATGTCAACATTGTAATAGTGAAGCAGATATACTTTATTCTTTGTAATAGGAAAGCAACAGCACAAGGCAAACTTTGCTGAGATGAAGAATGACAAAAGGGCACAGTAAATGAAAACTGTACTTCATATCACCATTTACACAAAGAAACTTAAACAGTTGAATATTAGCAAGGATATATGATCATAATCTGAAAATGAATTGAGGATATTACAAATAAATAGCTAAATAATTATTATATAGAGGAAGAAGTGGTAAACCATAGGTGTCATAAAGTGCCAGGGGAATGAGAGGTAACCAGGTTTAATATAAGAAAGGGGAGAGTAATTTTGTTTCCTTGGATCAAGAGCGCTTCACCAGTACCAAAGCACCCCTTGAAGGTTGATATAGTTAAAGAGTAATATGAATATATTAAATGACTTAAAACACTTGGGGCTAGATGACAACAATCTATACTGATAAAAGAAGTAGCAAATGACTTTTATACTGTATTAAGAAAATGAAGAAAATACCTGGTAAAGACTTCCTGTACCTGACATAAGTACTATTCACTTAAGAAATGTTGATTCATACAAGTTGCTGTACAAAAAAAAAAAAAAAAATCAAGTACAGTACAGTATATTTATAAAATTGCTAGCATTGGCATTAGATGTTGGCTTTCTCTTCACTTCACCTGACAGTCTTCTAGTTTCATCCCATTTTTGCCCTCGCCCATCACTTGACAAGATGGACTGAAACACTGTCAAATGTTTCCTCCAAATTTTGGATCAATGGTGAATTGTTTCTAGCCCTGGTAGTCTGCCATAAATCAGCACTATATTAGATGACATGAAACAAATGTGTTTTATTCTGAGAGAATTATAATGAAAATTACACTAACTGTACTTAACATAATTAAAACTTTATTAAGAATTCTGTAGTCATATACTGTATATACAGTATTGTTAGATTAAAAAGCAAGATCATCACAGTAGACCTACACTCCATGGTATGTATGTTATATAGTACTTTGTCTTGTGTTGCTAGACACAGAAGCTGCTGCATCATACATCTTGTATATCTCTCCTAAATTACAAATTGAGATTTTTTTTGTTGCAAGAATATATTAATGCAGTGTTGTGCCTGTTAACTTTTATATTCGTTACGTATTACTCTTAGTCTTTCATGATAATGTAGTTTTTTGTCTGGTGAGTCAAACTTCGAGTCCAGGAAGTGGGAAATACAGTGCCTGCACCTTGAACATGGGGTGGGATTATTGCAGTTTGAAGGGGCATCTGAGCTGTAATGTCAGCATGCCTTTGGTAAGACAGTTATAAGAGTGAGTGATGGTGAAAGTGTTTCTTCTTTTTTGGGTCACCCTGTCTCAGTGGGAGGCAGCTGGTGTTAAAAACAACAATAATATTATTCACAAAAAATACAGTACATACATTTTTTGGGAGAAAAGTATAACTGGTAATTCTGTACTCTGCTAATACTATGAAACTAAGATTTCACATCATTACTGGTACAAAATTATAACAATAACAAGGCTGTGCACAGAACGAAACTGGAAAAAGAAAAGTGTATATTGTGCAGTTGAAATTTATATGTACAATGTATACTGTATAAATAGTGGGTTGGCTTACTAATTTATAAGTGTTGAAATTGAAGAGTAAAGTACTGTACCACAGTGTTAAAAACTCATACAACAGAGCCCATGAGGCAGGTTACTTGAGAAATTAAGAGGCATGTATGAAATTAAGAGATACGGCCAGGACTCAAGATTTGACTCCCCATAGTCCTCAATGGTAAATACAAACAGGTGAGTACATTCAGCAGACAAGCAGTTATTGTAGCTTCTACAATTAGCATTGAAAGTTATTTATAAGTTGATGGTAACATCGCACAGTGATGCATTTGCCCAGGGTGATGATGCAGTATCTTCAGTGGTGTGGGACCCCTATGTACAGACACAGGGTTCCGCTTTTGGGCAAAGTGTACTGCCGCTTGTTTTTTCTCCACTGTACATAGCCTGTCACTCTTGTAGCTTGCTGTGAACCACTCTGGCAGACCTATCACACTGCTTGGCATTAACTCTGTATAGGCAGAATAATTATAATCATTCTTTATATTGCAAACATCGTGTACACATCTAGTTAATGGGAACCAGATAAAGTTTGTATCTGGATAATAAATACCATATTCAGTCTTGTGTGTGTGTGTGAGTTAGATAGGAATGAATGGAGACGAATGGTATTTGGGACCTGACGAACAGTTGGAGTGTGATATGGGTAATATTTTGTGAAGGGATTCAGGGAAACTAATTAGCTGGACTTGAGTCCTGGAGGTGGGAAGTACAATGCCTGCACTTTAACCCTTTGACTGTTTTGGTTGTATACATATGTCTTACGCGCCACTGTTTCGGACTTATTAATACACACAAATTCTAGCGGCTTCAAATCAAGCAGAAGAAAGCTGGTAGGCCCACATGTGAGAGAATGAGTCTGTGTGGTCAGTGTGCACCACATAAAAAAAATCCTGCAGCACGCAGTGCATAATGAAAAAAAACTGACCGTTTTTTTTTTAAATAAAACGCCAATTTTGAGGTGTATTTTCATATAGTATTTATCGTTGTATTCTCGTTTTCATGGTCTCACGTGATAAAATGGAAAACATATTACAGAAATAGAGATGATTTTGATTAATTTCACGATGAAAACGACATTGAAATTGAGCTCAAAGTAGCGGAAATGTTCAATTTTTACCAATGTTCAAGAGTGAGCAGATCATACCACACGTCAACTGGGGAGTAGTGCACTGATATTATTTATACCATTTTTACAATAATGCATTAGTCTGCATAACGATAAATTTTGTATTTTTTGTATGAATAAAAAATCAAAATAGAAAGCAATAGTATTATAAGAGGGGCCTAGAGATGTGACTAATGAACAGAGGATATGTTATTTTAGTGCCAAAAATGTCTACATTGTTTATTCTGGACCCTATTTTGAAATTGGCATGTTTTTTAATTTTCGTGAAATTGGCCAAATTACCAATTTCTGACCACTTTATTGGGTAGTACAAATCGGTAAATGGGTGGTTTCTTGTACTCAACTGATAGAAAAAATGGAGTTCTAAAGGAATAGCTTTGAGTTTGGTCAACTGGCACAACAGAATTGGCCAAAAACAGGGCTCAAAATCGGCGAAATCGCTGATGCGTATATGTCGCCGAGACCGCTAACTTCGCGGGAGCACAATTCCGTGAGTTTTCGATCAAATTTCGTACTTTTGGTGTCATTACCATCGGGAAAAGATTCTCTATCATTTCATCAGAATTTTTTTTTTTTTTTTTTTTTTTCAAAAATTTTGCGACATAGAATGACAGTTTCAGAAAGGGGCTTGCAACAGTCAAAGGGTTAAAGGAGGGGTTTGGGATATTGGCTGTTTGGAGTGACATCTAAACTGTTATATCAGGGTGTCTCTACAAGGACTGATATTGTGTGAATGATGGTGAAAGTGTTTCTTTTTTAGGTCACCCTGCCTCAGTGGGAGATGGCCCTGTTAAAAAAAAAAAACTCAGTCTAAAAATATCTGGACTACAGTAGAGCCATTTATTGGTAGTCTGTCATTCTAAGAATAAATCTTGATTATATGTAAGATTAAGAATGACAATAGAAGAGCTTGTTGTATGTTACTAGTGCATATTTGTATTATTATAACAATATATTATATATGCTGTAAGATCACAGTAAACAGGTGATATCACAATATGCAAAATTACCACAGTGAAAAAAACAGTTAAATTCCAAGTGCTTTCATGAGGTATCACAAAAGCACTTAGAATTTCAATATATTTTCCACTGTGGTTATTTTGAATATATTACTTATGTACATGTATATATCTAAGAATATTTTTTCCTCATTACAGGTGGGATATCTCTAACAGCACTGCAATATCTGGTTGGGGTGCTGATTCGTCTTCTGGTCATGTTTCTCAAGGGTCAAGTTACAGTCGATATGCAGGAAACACCAGTGTCAGTGCACAATCTAATCCTTCAAGTATAGAGTCAAATGGATTTCCAGAAAAGGCCCTATACAGAACCAGTAATAACACTGGGTTTGAGACCTTCAGGGCCAGCCATTCTTCACTCGATACAGATGAAACTCTTAGGAAAAAAGGTTTAGATAGGTAAGATGCCAATTATTTTATTTTATTTATTTATTTATTTGGACATGATACATAGTTGTACAAAGAAATGTAGTGATTGGGTGTACATGCCAAAGGCCCCTTGTATGCAGAGCATTATGGACAGGCTTAAAATTAACTTAAGATTAACTAAGCAATGATATATTCAGTGGTAAAAATTACAGTAAACAAATTACAACATGAAGTACAAATGAGTATTTCAAATAAGAAGCATTAAAGTTATACAAATTTGTAGCATAGCAGTGTATAACATAATCAAATCAGATCGAGTAAAATCAATGATTTGTAGTGCATTATTATTATAATCAAAGGGGAAGCACTAAACCCGGAGGATTATACAGCGCCTGGGGGGGGGGGGGATGTGGAAGGCAGTCAGGCTTAATTTGGGGAACTGGAGCACAGATCCAATTCCCTAAATCAAATTTGTAGTGCAGAAACAGGTCATATGGTCATTAGATGAGTTACTGTACATTCAAGAGAATGGAGTATTCTATTAGGTAATGTAATTAAAAAACATAGTTATTCAGTATTTATTTAGTTGTGGGTGAGTAATTGGTTTTTAAGAAGAGTCTTGAATTGATAAACAGACAGTATTTTATATTCACAGGTAATGAATTCCAGATTTTTGGGTCTTTTATGTAAATTGAGTTTTTACATAGTGTGAGATGGACACAGGGAACATCAAAGAGTGATCTGTGCCTTGTGTTATGGTCATGTGTTCTGTTGAGGTTGGTAAGGAGAAGTTTGAGGGGAGGGTTTATATCCGAGTTTAGTGTTCTATGTATGTAGTAGGCACAATAATAAGTATGGAAGTTTTGTATGGTGAGTAACTTTAGAGTTTTGAATATTGGTGGAGTATGCTGCCTGGAGTGGGAATTTGTTATTCTGACTGCAGCCTTTTGTTGGGTAATTAATGGTCTGAGATGATTTGTTGTTGTTGAGCCCCATGCACAAATTCCATAGGTGAGATAGGGGTAAATGAGTGAGTGATATAGGGCCAGGAGGGGCTGACTGTGGAACATAGTACAGGTCCTCCATCACAAATCCGGCATCATTGGGACCTTCAGTGTGCCAGATTACTGAGTTCGCCAGATTACAGAGTAGTTAGGTTAGAATACACTTAATAAAATTAACCAACTTGACTGACGCAAAAATCGAACATTTCCGGTACTTTGAGCTCAATTTCAAGGTACTTTTAGTCATGAAAGCAATCAAAATCATGTCTATTTCTGTAATGTATCTTCCATTCTATCAAACAAGTCCAAAAAAATGAGAATACAACCTTAAAAACCATACAAAAATATACTGCAAAGAGGCAGCTAATGGCTGAGAAGTGAACTCCCTTATTTATCATCCGTCTTTTTTATTTTTGTACATTAAGAAGCATCTTTCCATGCTACTTGCCCAGGTTTCAATGAGATAACCCAACAAACAACCGAGAAACAAAAAAAATATTTACCAAAAATCATATATGGCAAGCCCAAGCCAGGCACTGAAAATGTCACTTTGCCTGACTTTTCTGGGTTATCCTATGTTCTCTATACATACACTGCTATGTATGATAATCTATGTAACTGTATTTGTGTATACCTGAATAAACTTATTTACTTCTAGTCTGTCAACTGAGTACAAGAAACCGCCCATTCACTTATTTCAACTACCCAATAAAGTGGTCAGAAATTGGCAGTTTGGCCGATTTCACACAAATTTCAACAGATGCTAATTTCAAAATAGGGTCCAGAATAAACATTCCTGGCACTAAAATAACATTTTCTCTGTTCATTAGTCACGGCTACAGGCCCCTCTTACATTACTCTTGCTTACGATTTGGAATTTTTATTCACAAAAAAATAGAAGATTTACTGTTATGCAGACTGCTGCATTATTGTAATAATTGTATAAATAATGTCAACCCATTCTTGACTCCGTATTGGAATTTGGACTGGCAGGCGGACAGGTATTGGACGGTGACGTCATTTGTTTACTCTTGAGCTTTGCTAAAGAATAGAACATTTTCGCTACTGTGAGCGCAATTTCAAGGTACTTTTCATCATGAAAGGAATCAAAATCATATCTATTTCTGTAATATATCTTTCATTCTATCAAATGAGACCAAAAAAATGAGAATATAACCATAAAAAACTACAAAAATATACCGCTAAGGGGCCGCTAATGGCTGAGGAGTGAACTCCGCTATTTATGGTCTGATTTCTTTCATTTTTGGTGTACGTTAAGAAGTATCTTTCCATCATACATTGCCCAAGTTTGAATAAGAAAACCCAACAAACAACTGAGAAAATAATATAATAATAATAATAATAATAATAATAATAATAATAATAATAATATCTTTATTTACTACATGTACATGTACAAGGTATACAGGCCTAGCTGACATCAGTGACATACTACTATATAGAGAGCCACTTGTTATGCAGAGTATTTCAAGAAAATTAGGTCAGTGTACCAGGATAACACCCACACTAGTCGACTAACACCCAGGTACTCATTTACTGATGGGTAAACATAGACAACAGGTGTAAAGAAACACACCTAATGTTTCTACCCTGGCTGGGAATCGAATATTTATCAAAAATCATATATGGCTAACCCAAGCCAGGTACTAAAAATAAGCCACATTGACTTTTTTGGGGTTATCCTAGGTTCTCTACACATATGCTGCTATGTGTGATAATCTATATAGAGGAAATAACTTTTTTGTTTCAGGTTTATGGTGCAGTATGAGTGTATATCACAGTTAGCCCTGTGCTATTCTCTGTTTTCTCTAATATAAGCCCCAAGACAGGGATAGGAGAATGGTATTTGTCTACCATATCCTCTTCATACCTCCATCGAACTGCTCGGTGTTATGCCAAATATTATTCATTCTGGAGTATTTAACATGTTTTATGTTATTTATATTGTTTATTATGTCATATTAGATCAATTGTGATAGGCAAATAAGCTGTAGTGTTGATATTAGCATAATAATAAAGCATATTCTCCTGCTTCATGAGACTGAGCTCATGGCAACAGACAGTGGCTTCAAAGCCACCTTATCTTTAATGGATAATGTACTGTGTCGGTGCTTTACATAATGAGAAGCATTTCTTTTATTCATTAGAACCATGGCTAGGGGTAAAAGTAAGCAGGTTAAAACAATAAATGGAGAAAAAGAAATTAGAATGACTTATGCAGCAAGTGCGCCACCAAACAGTACCAGCAAGTTGGTGTGGCGACCCTGGAAATTTAAAATTATGCTAGCCAAAATTAGTGCCGAATAACTGAAGGAACCGAATAACTGATTGCCGGATTTGTGATGGTGGACCTGTACTCTGATAATTATACTTACACACTGTGCTGGCATGCAGGTACACATTAAAATCACTAAGTCTCTCTCTACTCGATGCCATATAATTCTTGGGTGCATTAACCCTTTCAGGGTCCAAGGCCAAAATCTGAAGGGGTGCCCCAGTGTCCAAGAAATTTTGAAAAAAAAAAAAAAAAAAAAAAAAAAAAAATTGTTTTTTTCTTACAGAATTAAAGATAATATTTCTGTGAAGGTTATAAAACAAAAACAAAAATTTCTGATCAGTACTTACCGAGATACAGCGGCGGGAAGTTGACCCAAAATGACCGGGTGGCGGCAACATCAATGACTTCAGCAAAATAGCATATTTTTGTTTTACGTTTTTTATACCTTTTTCTTTTCTTTTCTAATTTTTTTTATTTTTCTAGTAACATTTGTGGCCTGTGAGACCAATATAATGTATATTGTATAAGTGTACACTCATTGTATTCAACACAATACCTGCACTAATTTGTTTATCATTATATTGCTTACAAAACTTGTTTACAAGTTTATTGTAAACAAAATGATGAAAATATTAGTGCAGTTATTGTGTTGAATACAACGGTACCATATAGTACCATATGGTACAATGGTGCCATAGGGTGCAATGGTACCATATAGTACATTTGTACCATATGGTATAATGGTACCATATGGTACAATGGCACATGATACAATGGTGCCATATGATATAATGGTACCATATGGTACAATGGCACCATTTGGTACAATGGTACCATATGATACAATGGTACCATATGATACAATGGTACCATATGGTGCAATTCAAGTTTATTCTCTACAATAGTTACAATGTGGGGTTTACAGGTTTTGGGTATTTTGTGGTTTACATGTTATAAAATACTAATTACAGAGGGGGCCACTAGGACACCTAGCATGGCTAGGCATTTCAAGCAGACTTAGATTAATTCTTAACATTAAATCCTTACAGATTATGGTATTTAGGCTAAGTGACTACATCATAATTTGTGAGTTTAGCAATGTGAATGCTTTTGTTTTGGCACAATACAAGGTGTCTATATTTGAGTATCATAGGCAAACTTATGACTAGTTAGGATTTATTATTTTAAGATTAAGATTAGTATTTCTGGGTTTATAGTCAGTGAGTGAGTGAGTGTAATTTTGAACCACCAGGTGGTTATCATGTAGTTAGTTGTCAGGGTGGATCAGGGAGATAAGATGTTTTCTAACTGTAGTTTTGAAAGTGATGAATGTATCTGCAGTTCTAGAGTTTTCAGGTAGGGTGTTCCAGATTTTAGGTCCTTTGAAATACATTAAATTTTTGTAAAGGTTTAGTCGAACACGGGGAATGTCATAGAGATGTTTGTGTCTGGTGTTATGCCTGTGGATCCTGTCACAACTATCAAGAAAGCGTTTTAGGTCAAGGTTAATATTGGAATTTAAGGTCCTGTAGATACAGATTGCACAGTAGTAAGTGTGGATGTTCTGAACAGGGAGTAAGTTTAGATCTATGAAGAGGGGGGGTGTGTTGCCAGGGATGGGATTTAGTGATTATTCTTACTGCGGCTTTTTGTTGGGTTATTATTGGCTTTAGGTGTGTTGCTGCAGTGGTACATTGTACCATACAGTACAATGATACCATATGGTTCATTGTACCATATAGTACTATATGGTACTGTTGTATTCAACACAATAAACACACTTATATTTTCATCATTATTGTATTTTGTTTACAGTAATTGTTTACAACAAAAATATGCAAAAATGTTGTATATTAGTAATGTTCCATTATATATTTACAAATGTACAGGAACTCAACATGTTCCTTGAGGTGGATGACAAAGCGCGTTGTCTTGGAAACTGCGGAGTCAGTAGCTAGCTTGCGTCGCCACTCACTCAGTCTTGGCTGGTGTCTTGTGCCACCAACACCTATTTAGACCATATGGTACACGGTATCATATGTTACAGGGTACCATATGGTACATTGTACTACAGGTCTCCCTCAACATTTGCGAGTGTTAGGGGATCAAGAGCCTCGCGAATGTTGAAAAATCGCGAATGTTTGGTGCCCCAATATATTGTAGGGAAATATAATACAATACTGCTTGTTGAACCACGAACAATCATAAAATACATGAAAATGTCATACAATATTGTACTAAATACATACATGTTATGGTTTAATAACATGTATGTTATTAACCCTTTGACTGTTTCAGGCCCCTCTCTGAAACTGTCATTCTATGTCGCTCAATTTTTTAAAAAAAAAAAAATTATTTTTTCTTATGAAATGATAGAGAATCTTTTCCCGATGGTAATGACACCAAAAGTTCGAAATTTGGTCGAAAACTCGTGGAATTATGCTCCCGCGAAGTTAGCGGTCTCTGCGACATATGCGTATCGGCGATTTCGCCGACTTTGAGCCCTATTTTCAGCCAATTCCATTGTTCCAGTTGACCAAACTCATAGCTATTTCTTTAGAACTCCATTTTATCTATCAGCTGAGTACAAGAAACCTCCCATTTACTAATTTGGACTACCCAATATGGTGGTCAGAAATTGGCAATTTGGCCAATTTCACGCAAAAATAAAAAGATGCCAATTTCAAAATAGGGTCCAGAATAAACAAGGTAGACATTCGTGGCACTAAAATAACATATGCTCTGTTCATTAGTCACATCTCTAGGCCCCTCTTATATTATTATTGATTTCTATTTTGATTTTTTATTCATACAAAAAAATACAAAATTTACTGTTATGCAGACGACTGCATTATTGTAAAAATGGTATAAATAATATCAGTGCACTAGTGAAAGAATATTAGACTCCCCAGTTGACGTGTATTGGACGTGTGGTGTGATTTATTTACTCTTGAACATTGGTAAAAATCGAACATTTCCGCTACTTTGAGCTCAGTTTTAAGGTCGTTTTCATCGTAAAAGTAATGAAAATCATCTCTATTTCTGTAATATGTTTTCCATTTTATCACCTAAGACCATGAAAACGCGAATACAACGATAAATACTATACGAAAATACACCTCAAAGTCGGCGTTTTATTCCAAAAAAACGATCAGTTTTTTTTTTCTCATTACGCAATGTTTGCTGCAGGATTTTTTTTATATGGTGCACACTGACCACACAGACCCATTCTCTCACATGTGGGCCTACCAGCTTTCTCCCACTTGATTTGAAGCCGCTAGAATTATTGAATATATATACGTCAGAAACATTGGCTCGTAAGACGTATTTATACGTCGAAAACAGTCAAAGGGTTAAATACCACTGCGGCACACTGCTCTTATTTTGGTACAATTTCTTTCTTCAATTCTATTGTGTTTCTCAATTTCTTTACCAAAGGGCTGGCACTAGCAAGTTTCCTTGGGCCCATGGTTAATTATGTGGCAGTTGCACTCAATCTACAAGCACCAAACACAGTGAATTATTGTGAAATGTTTGGAAGAGCGTGGAGACTAATGCTCACTCCAGCATAAACAAAGGCACACTGACGATGCCTCAACCACTTCCTCCACCACTGCTTCAACCCTCATATTTTTGTACAATTTCCTTCTTCAATTCTATCGTATTATTATTATTATTAATACGATAGAATTGAAGAAGGAAATAGTACAAAAATACGAGGGTTGAAATAGTGGTGGAAGAAGTGATTGATGCATCGTCAGTGTGGCTTTGTTTATGCTGGAGTGAGCATTAGTCTCTATACTCTTCCAGACATTTCACAATAATTCATTGTTTGGTGCTTGTAGATTGAGTGCAACTGGAGTGGCTGAGGCAGTGGTTGAGGCAGTGGTAGAGGCAGTGGTTGAGGCAGTGGTTTTTAATAACATGTTATTAATAATAATACATGTTATTAATAATATGTATTATTATTATTAATAACATAAATCTTGTTAAATACCACTGCCTCAACCACTGCCTCAACCACTGCCTCATCCACTGCCTCAACCACTGCCTCAACCACTGCCTTAACCACTGCCTCTACCACTGCCTCAACCACTGCCTCAACTGCTGCCTCTACCACTCCAGTCACACTCAATCTACAAGCACCAAACACAATGAATTACTGGAAATGTTTGGAAGAGTGTGGAGATTAATGCTCACTCCAGCATAAACAAAGGCACACTGACAATGCCTCAACCACTTCTTCCACCCTTGTATTTTTGTACAATTTCCTTCAATTCTATCGTATTATTATTATTATTATTATTATTAGCAGTAGCAGAAATGTTTGATTCTTTCTGTGTTCAAGAGTAAACATATGATGTCACTATCCAATACCTGTCCGAATAGCCATTCCAATGTTCAGTCATGAATGGGTTGACATTATTTATACTGTAGTTTAAAAGCAAATAATGAACAAACAAAATACTCACCACTGAGTGGTGGGAGGGCTGGCTGCCAGTTATTGGGGTCGGAGGGAGGGTAGTAGGGACTCTCGGGTGGCGGGAAAATTAAATATGATTTGGCAGCTGGGAATTTGGCAGTTGGGAATTCACGAATGTGTGAAGCCCACGAATGTTGAGGGAGACCTGTATATGGTATAGGGTACCATGCAGTACAGGAAAACATATGGTGCAAGGTACCACATGTGTTACAAAAAACGTGATTTCTAATAAGCATAGAGATCTCCAGTGAACACTAGAAAGGACTGCCCTTCTAGCATTCAGCCTGTTACTGGGTTTTCATAACAAGTAGTCAGTATCCTGGTCCAATTATCCATTAGAATTCAGCAATAATTATTAGTGCTTCATGATTACTACTGGTAGGCTACTAACTGAAGAAATTAAAATTTAATAAATTTATTAACAATCAAGATGTCTAGGAGTATATTATCAAATTAAAATAAATTAATCAATTTAAACAAATTAATAATAATCACTTCTCTCGTGTACAGTAGTATTGTGTTGAAGGCACATATCACATTTATACGTCTTAAGTACCGTCTGGTACATTAACATTTAATAAGATATTACAAATATGTACAAGTAAGTTTGTGTGTATGTGTGTAAGTGCTCTAAGTAGTTCGCTATGTCTCAAGACTTGACTAGACTTAAACCAGTGACTGACAAAGTCCTCACATCAACTAACTTCATGACAACCTGGCAATCAGAATAGCTTGCTTGAACAATAAAACGACTGCTAAGCCCAATAACAATATAACAAGCAACTGCGACACAGAATCAGGAACAAGGAAATAATATAACGACACGAAGTAGGGACCATCTGCAGATCCTCCACAAAAGTCACAAAACTCCCATACTACTGAATCTAAGTTCAGCATAAGAAAATCCCCGACTGTGACAGTACACAGATACCAGTACAAATTAGGTCAGAAGCTACAGCTCAGGACCTGAGTTGCTCAGAGTGTCTATGCGACACACAACCTCAGTACAATGTCGAAAATCACTAAGTCTAGACAATGTTCTGTGAACAGAGTTCCACAGAACCTACAACAATAAAGCGACAGAGACGATCTTCCAACAAGGGCCAATAAGGGAGAGTTAGGCACGTCTTGTCAGGAATGCGTCCAACCACCAAGAGAGTCTAGCCCAGACTGACTACTCCAGGCGAGGTGTGAACACCCCCCCCCCTCTATAACGTGATAGCTCCGTGGACAGTTGCTGCCCGGCAACACCGAGAAGCCGGCAGAGTAACGAGCCACGAGCGATAATTACAGTAGTTAGACAATCAAGACTTGAACTATGAGCACATAATAATAATATATGAATGTTACATCCTACCTAACAATATAACTTAGTCAAATAATAATAATATAAAGCAATATATTTACGATTTAGCTGCCCTTGTGGCTTAGCGCTTCTGTTTTATTATGATAATACGATTTAGCTATTATCGCAAATATAAAAGGTAATATACATTATATACATTGTGACCCATTCAGGGGTTGCAACAATATGGCACAGGGTACCATATGGCACAAGGTACCATATGGCACCATATGGCACAAGGTACCATATGGTACAGGGTACCATACGGTACAGGGTGCCATACAGTACAGGACACCATATGGTACAGATACAATGATCCCTGTGAAAATAAGTCACCCTAACTTTTTTGGGTTATCCTAGGATTTTATACATATGCTGCTATGCATAATAATCCATGTAATTGTATTTCTGTACACCTGAATAAACTTACTCAAGCACATGTGACATCGTAAGTAAGTTTATTTAGGTATACACAAATAAAGTTATATAGAATATCATACTTAGCAGCATATGTTTGGAGAACCTAGGATAACCCAAAAAAGTCAGACTGACTTATTTCCATTAGGGTCCCTGTACCCTGTACTATATGGTACAATGTACCATATGGTATAATGTACCATATGGTACATTGTACCATATGATACCATTGTATGGCATGGCACCAATGTACCATATGGTACAATGGTACCAGATGGTTCAAAACCATAGAATTCCTCTTCAGCTCCACTTCCGTCTGTCTTAGAACTGTAAGTTGTGAAGAGGAGAGTCAGAATTCACGAGGAGAGTGAGTGGGGAGTGAGAGCTTCCTTGCCGCCAGGCACGATGAACAAAGCTACTTTGGCGGCATTCCCACAATGCCATGTGGGCGTCCAGATTTTTTCTATAGTGTGCACACTGACCGCCCAGACCCATTCTCTCAGATGTAGGCCTACCAGCCTTCTCGCGCTAAATTTGACGCTGCTAGAATTTTGGCGTAGATCTAAGGTTTGGACCCTCAACGTAAAGCCATAGATCCACGGCATGGATCCTGAAAGGGTTAAATGTCATATATTACATTAATACATGTATAGACATTTCCATTAATCCATCTATGATATTTATTTCAAAATTATATAATAAACATGCTACATAACATATAAACATGATACATACACCCACAGTATAAAAATTGACATAAATATGTGATTTGTTTACCGAGTGCTTGGTAGGAGAGTCGAAGAATTATGTTTTCTCTAGTCAAACACCAGTAACTTAACTAGAAATTTATTCCTTTCGTATGCCTTCACCCTATCTATAGCTATTCATGACCCTTGTGGGTTTAGTGCTTCTTTTTTATTATGATTATAATAATAATAAGAACTTGTAATAATAATAAATCAGAGCATCATTCCTTCTAAAAATTACATGGGAATGGAAGTGTTGGTTTTTATTTATCTACTGTATCAACGTGGAGGCAACTTGTACAGGGTGTAAAGTGTTTGCATTATGGTATACAGTAAACTATCATTTAACACGGTAGTTACGTTCCTGAAAATGCCATGTTAGGTGAACTGAGAAACTTATGGGAAAAATATGGTTATGTTCCTCTGAGCCCCCCAAAAAGCCAAATAACTTTTTTTAGACCAACAGCTCTTACAAAAATAAAAATGAATATGTAATTGTAGTTTATTGTCGTGATATATTATTGCTTAAGACTACAAACACAATAGAAATAATAGTATTTCTTACCTTAAATTGTGGTTGCTGGTGTGTGTGGATGATTGTGGAGAGAGTGGATATGGATGGTGTGGCCCTACTGGGCTGAGGTGGATGGTTGTTGGTTGTCGACAGAAGTGGATGGTAGAGGTTCTGGTACTGAAGTCAACAGTCGTATTGGAGTGTGCATAAAGTCTGTAATGGATCTCTGGGCTCTTTTATCCTGCAGTACATTATACAGCTGATGGTAATGCATCATCAGCTGGTCTAGACCCCATTTCAAAGCACTGCTTCTAGATTTGTCAGGGTCCTCTTCAGTGAAAAGTCTGCTAGTTTAGATGCAGCATGGAACTGCTCACGTAACTGCTGCAGTGTTAACTGTTTTTCTTAAGATTCTTCATCTTCTGTTATCTCCCTCCCTTGTATCTGTGCATCAAGCTCTTCCAACATTTCCTCTGGACTCCTGTCTTCATCATCATCATCTTCTAAGAGCTCATTCATATCATCTGCATTCATATCTTCAAAACCGTCACCTGGTAATCTCCTTGCCAGCTGAACAATATCCTGAACCTGACTATCAAGCAAGGGAAAACCAGTGAAAGAATTAACCACAGAAGGCCATAACTTTCCCCAGCCTGCATTTAGTGTTGATTGGGGCACTTCATTCTATGCACTTCTAGCATAGCTGATAGCATCTGCAATGTTAAATTTATTCCAGAAGCTTGGTATTGCCAAGTTGGAATCAGAGTCTATTGATGCAACTAGTTTTGTAGATGAATGGTTCAAAGAACCAACATGTTGTTAAATTAGACACATATGCAACTCTAGGGGTATCTTTATTGAGGAAACGTTTCACCACACAGTGGCTTCATCAGTCCATACAAAGGATAAACTTGAAGAACAGGAGGAGAATGAGGCTGAGGGACTGATTACCTCATTCTCCTCCTGTTCTTCAAGTTTATCCTTTGTATGAACTGATGAAGCCACTGTGTGGTGAAACGTTTCCTCAATAAAGATACCCAAGAGTTGCCACTTGAATGACTTAATAAGTCCCCGATCCAGTGGTTGAATTAGAGATGTATTTGGAGGTAA